TAATAACGGTAGGTTTCACGGTAGGGCAATGAGACGACGATGTCACGGACGTTACTTATCGAGTCCTTGTCACTTGACACGCTCCGCCGAACACGATGCTTAGATCGTGTTAATTATCTATACGCGTGTTTGTCATGTCCGCGCCTTTCTGCTTATATGCTGCCATCCATATAGGGCGAATTTTTATTTAGAGATTTTCAAGTCAATTCACTGTATGGCGTAAACGTTTATATTTAGATCTCTTGACATTCGCGATAACACCATTAAATCGCATACATTTATTATCTACTGCATTTTCCGTGAGATCCTTAAATTTTTCCTTGTGGTTTAACGCATTCTATTTCTGACTCAATAATTTAATCGTATTAAAGCTCTACGATTTAAATTATAATCAAGTCTCGTCATCTCATCCACTTCTATTTCTTACATGTCATAATGAATATGAATGTTGAAAATCCGCGGAAATCACGAAAATTCGATGAGTCTGCGCAACGATAATTTTAATACTTCCGAGAACTGTAGCACACAAGCTATCCTATTTAATCAGAATTATGCATCGACATTAATATTATTCTATGTATCTAACTGATATATCACTTTGTCTGATCAATTACTTACTGCTTTCTAGGAGAAATGATTTTCTACCAAACAGTCAATGGAAAAAAAAAAAAAATACGAACCAAGTATATAGCTTTAAATACTTTTTATTGTCAAAAAATTAAGAATACATAAAAAGAAATTTAAATAAGCAACTTGCTGTTTCCTATGGCATATAAAGAATCAGTTGATCGATTTTTTAAAAGAATATTAAAAATTGAACGGTGTTAGTTTAACAAGGCTAAAAAGGAACTGAAACCTGCGAAATTCACACTCTTTTTGCGCAAATCTATTTGTACGACGTGATCTCGATTTCAAAGTACCCTTCATATGCGATTCACTGGACGATCGCGTCTTGATCGATATGGCGCATTTTTGCTTGTTCGTATTGCATGTCTCGTTGAGAGACAAATTGAGCTTACACGCGTCAAAATTCAAGACGCGATCTGTTGGATATTATGCATCCAACACTTTTTCGCGAATACAATGCACTGGGCGTTTTCTTCCACATGACATTCCGCAGTGAGAAATTAAAAGCTGCCTCGATAGAGATACTACCAAGCGGAGTTCGTTCGGCGGATTTACTGTGGCGATTATCCCAATTAACCGTACGCTCTTTCAGTCTTGGCTTGAACTACGAGCTCAAGTGCCACCTGCGGACCAGTTCCCGTGGCGCGGTTTTTGAGCCATACTACATTCAAGTAAGACGTTAAGTGCATCCCGTACGTTTCCGGAGAACATTATGGCCGTCTCGCAAATTCCCATTAGCGGACTTCGTTCTTCCCCTCATCAGCTCTGACTCGTCGCTCCGGCATTAAGCATCAAGCAGGTTTTTCTCCCAGTCGGCCGCTGTTCTGATGAATTCGGCAGATTCCAAACTGGACTCTTCATCGTTGACCACTATCGTCAGTATTACTCTCGCTGCTTTGTTTTTATTGAAAAAAAGTTTTCTTCACATAGAGGCGTGAACTTACAATTTATTTGAAGGATGGAGTTTTTCACTTAAAACTTGTGTTAAATAGAATTCGCTGTACTATTCGAAGGTAACATTACATTATTTTATTTTTTATTCATTTGCGAGTCGAATGTCGATTATGTGATTTTATTCTCCATGAGTACAATACATTTAAGTGAAATATTAGGTATATTTTTACGAAACAAATTTGTTTATAAGTATCCATTAGGATTCGTTTTGACTAACTTTCATCGGTGTCATCCTTTTGGACGGTGTTAAACGTTGGTCGGCTTTTTCTCTCGATCGCTCGCCACGCCGTCGAATTCAGCAGATTCCAAGCTCTGTCTTTTGGCCATTGTCACCGTCCATATTAGCGCAGAGTCAGCGCGGCAGAGGCCGAAGAGATTAATTAGGGACGATATTTTAGCAGCAAAAATGGCGAGGAGGTGGAGGGGAGGCGAGGCAAGAAACGGCAGCATCAACAGCCGTCTTAAGTCGCGCTAACTAATCTGGCAACGCCACGAGACGATCGACTGGACCTCATCGCCCCTTCTCCATAAGAACGTGCTACAAATTAAGCCCGGATCGGTAGAAACCATCTCGAAAATTTAGCAGCCGGTTGCTGTTCCCTATGCTCCATTATCTGTATGTTCGTGAACAGGTCCGGATAATAAGTTTCCATGGCCTGAATTCAGTTATTTTCGAGAACTTCCAATAGATATTAAAGGGAATGTTCTATATTATAAATAAATGAATATCTTTAAATGAAGACATAAAACTTGTTCGGATTCCTGATTTTTTTATGATATTGATATCCGTTTAATTTATTTAATTTATCTATATGATTTCATTTTTTTAAATCATGGTTTATGTTGAAACAAATTGAAACAAGTTTAATATAATTTATTACGCGACAATAGCCTCGTAAATAAAAATAATATATTAATATTTTGAACAAGAGACAAAAAATATTATATTTTACATAAAATCGCTATCTCATGAAATTTAATTTATTTAATACGTATGAAACATTGTCGCAGAAAAGCATCAGGTCATTCTCTTTACCATTGAGAATATTTGGATCGTACAAGGAATGATATCGATAAATCGACTTTGCGTTACTTGAGCAAATCTCTTTTTTGGCAACGGTATACAACGATTGTAATTTACGGTGGCTGTTGTCATCGCATTATTTATTGTATTTATCACATATTTCGTTGATAATATTTTATAGATACGCAGCCAATTCTCATTGAAATCCATTTCCGAGCGTAATATCCGTGTCACAAATTCTTGTAATCGTTAATTTATCTATCCGTTTATGCTATACTTACTGCCTATTGCTTCTATTTTCACGACAAACGAATTATTGGCATCCTCACGAGAGAGCTGCAAGAATAACCGTTGTATAATCTGCGTGCTCCGTCTGTTGAAGCTTGCTATAATTTAAAGTTTGAACGAAGTTATTTTCCTTCCTAGACAGAAAACGCCGACAGTGTTGTTGTACTAGATTAGTAAAGAATTAATTAGTCTTGCAGTTCTGCAGTTCTGCAACTTGTCATTATTTAAATGTAGATAAAACGATTTTTCTTTTAGAAGACATGTTGACATAATTATCAAAATGAATAATCGATTTTTCGATTTTTCAAATTGATCCAATATCGCTTTTTCTCGACAATATATAATAAAAAAAAAAATATAAAAATAAACGAAATGTATGACTTTGAATTAAGGCATAGATTGTTGAATATATTATGCCACTTGATACAAGATTCCGGCACGCCTGCTATCCATTTAGCGATAACTGTGGCTAAAGCAATTTTTCTTTCTTCGGTTGATCGGCAATAAGAGAAACAACGGGCCTTCCTATCTGCAGGAAGTGTTCAGCGTGGCTTTTATCGATCGAAGCAATGTCGATCGGCAGCTAAGGCGCTAATGGGTTAGTCAGCCTGGATACGAACCCGCCGCGTCGCTAGAAGTGTGCAATCGGTCGTAGAAGAGAGGATAGAACGTACGAAAAATGCCCATGCTTTACCTATACTTATCTGCGTGCTATTGCATATTGCATGTATATACACGTGCTACAGCACACGCGAAAAGTGTCGGTTATCTCAGCGGAGACACACAGTCGCGCCTAAGGATAATAAATAAAGATAGACGAAGACAGATACGGGTGTATAGATGCAAGGAGTTTGTGGTGTCTATCTTTTGCCCACACGGAGATTATCTCAAGGAGTTATGAGTGACCGGGCTTTCAGTTTAAATAAAGCTGAGCGCTACGTAGCTCTATATCGATGCCGTTCTTGATTTTCATACGCGTTTAAAACTTGTTTCGACGCGACTCTGTGTCACGCGACGTTCTCTCTCTCTCTCTCTCTCTCTCTCTCTCTCTCTCATGTTGTCTCCCACGAAATATCTATCCTTCTTGGCTATCTCTCAAGTCGACCAAGAGCAACTCTTTGGAACGTTGCCGCCCCGCCTGAACGATATTTCGAATTATACAACAAGCGATTAGTATAAGGAACGGATATTAGACGGCGGCACGAAGCGTGCTCGTTTGTTTCGCAAGGTTTCATTCAGTCGCTCAATTGTTTCGAGCGCCGGCTCCGGTTTGGTTATGATTTATCGTGACGGTTGCCGCGTGCTTACGTGACTCGCATACTTACAATAAGGCAATTAGATTCCGATTCTTTATTTAATAGAAACGATACGAATTGTATGCGCTGGATAAAGAAGTGGGTATTTCTCGCTCGCGTCGCAATACGATCGATCTGGGAGGAGCCGGTATTTTTCAGCGTTCATTGGATAAAGTGCATCCGCGGTAGTTTCGACTTTCATCTCTTCTTGCATGAAATCACAACCAAGAAGAATGCCATTCACGCTCTTAATCCCATTTTGCACGGAAAGCGACTTTTTTTCCTCTGAAATGCTCTTTAGCACTGTAGGGCAATTAACGTGGAATTAGCCGTGTGTTCGCGTCTTCTTATTGTACGTTATACATAAAGTCATTTGGTGCGGCTCTTACCGAAGACTCGGAACTGCGAACTATGTATATACCGTGAACTTCAGCAGAACATGACGAAGCATAAGTATTGATGTAATAATCGTGCATAATTACATCAATATCTTGCAAGTGAAATATTCAATACGTGTAGAAATAAAAATGTATATATTTTGAACTACTTTAAAATTTATTTTATTTTAGTTCCTTTTTAAATCAAAGATTGGAAATAATTATATCAATTCGTAGGCTTATACAAAATGAATAAAACATTGAATGTTAAATTTAAGTATTGCTTTTAATAGTAATACAAAGAATACACATTTTTTTCTAAAATATAATTTTAACTAGAATTATATATATATATTTTATTAATTATATTTTTATTAATTATTAATTATATATATATTTCAGTACTAAAAATAAATATTTCTATTTTTGTTTCAGATGCAATGGGTAAGTGACTCTGTCTTTAGCCAAATCAGCATTATAGGTAAGCGTAATAGAATTGGTAATAGATGGGCTCCTCTTTTTTGAGCAATATAGAAAGTTCTCCCTCGTACTCATATAGCTGCTTGCGAATTAATTATCATAATTAATGAAGCGGTTTGTTAGATTAGCAATTCTTATTTGAGAAAAACCTAGGTCGAGATCGTTCTCATTTGAAATACTTGTCGATTGTCGTAATCGCTCAGTTTGCTCATAATATTAATGTTTACGTACATGTTGTGAAATTATATACTGACGTTGACACGAAACATAATTGCATGCACATGTAAACACGTGTGATACAGTTACGAATATAATTAAAAATAGTTAATACAAAATTTCAGAATGTTAAGAGCTGAAATTAAAATTAAGTGACGCACATGAAATCCATAAATGTAAAAAAATTTGTTTTCCAAATTTACGTGATTTAATTCTGACTGCTTTTATTTCGTCGTCTGCTATATTTGGTGAAATAAATTAAGCGTGACTAAATTCGGACACATCGCGAGCATAATGTTTATAGCCTGCATAAAAAAAAAACATTTTAAGCTAGCAGATAGTAAGAAAGAGAGATAGAATGGCGATTGCTTGTTTCCTCTTTCTCTTTCTCGATTCGATAATAATTCTCTTAATGGATCTTGTCGGTTGTCGGCGACACGGTCTAAACGAGGATCTGTGAAACGATCTTGCGTTACCGATCTGTTACGAGCGCAATGGCCACTCTCTTACATTTCTTCTTAATGCCCTCTTATGCGTGCAGCGTGCGCCGCAATAACGAGGCGCTTCGACTTAATTAGATTAATTAGATTGCAAGCGAGGCGGATCGCGCGGATGGCGCTCGACGAGATCGAGCTGAAGATCTGTCGTTAACCGCATTAACGTCGCTAAATAATCTCTTTTTCTACATGATATTTTTTGAATAAAATTGCTCATTTTACTTGAACATTGTATAATGCAAGAAACATGTACAATTAATTTGGAATTGATCAAATCTTTGAAAATATCAATTTACGCTTGTCTTTTCTCTAATGATTTCTCAATGTTAGATTAATTATACTGCACATGTTACGTGTATTTTATACTTATTGTATGTTATATTCACTGAGGTTTTAAAACAGTATTAGTCTAAAGATGGTAAAATGTGATTTAAGAATGGTAATTCGTAAACATTAATACCTTACGTTGGTTTTGCTAGCAAACCAAGTAACATGGCATCTGTTAGTAATATCGAATAATAGAAAACGTAGGCTAAACGACGTATGGGTATTAACAATCTTGAACGAATTGCTCTCATCTTTCTTCAGGTAGTCTTTAACAACTCATGTAACTATCATTAATCCTTTGGCTAAGTACAAAAACTCATATAATCAATCTCTGTGAAATAGTAGATATCGTTACAATCATCTTATTAGTATCTTAGTGCTATCCAATCAAATCAAATTATGTCAATGGTATGTAATTTAGTCTCACCGATTAATCGTTAAACTTATAAAATTTATATCGTTGGCGAATTATAAACACCGTTACTAATTTAAGTTAAATAATGCAACCGCATTATTAAAAAAGTAAAAACATATTTCGAATATTTATTACGTATATATGAACAATATTATTTACTTTTTAACAGTATTATTAACTAATTCAAGTGAAATTTGATAAATTATCATTTGATGAAATGTATGTTGAAAAGAAAGCTCAAAAGTCTCATCGTAGAAGAGTGCGCTCCTTTTTTTGAACGGTGATCTATTCGCCAACCAGCCGATGATTATTGGAGAAGTGTAGTGCACGGTTAGGTTCATCCAGTTCAGTTGGACCTTTTCTCGTGATCACGAGTAAAAAAACTTTCCCACTTTTTAGTCTAATTAGTTGCATTTTTTAGATCGTGTACACGTGCAGGACGAACCCACGAAACGAACTATTGGGAAGTGTGACTGAGGGAAAAAATATAACTGTAGAGGAAGAAAGACATTGGAAGATAAAACGCGCGAGAGAAAGCTGAAGTTAAAAATTAACTTGCGCAATTTGAATCGTTATATGATATTTAGCATTGTGCTTTTCAGTTTCGTCCTGAAGTACACAAAACGAATCTTTCGACGGAATTCCACGATAAGAGATATACGTGAAATGCTCGCTACATCAGGCATCATTGCGACGCTTAAAGTGTAATTATCAGTCGTGACTTGAAGTAGTCATTAACGCTTACGGCAAGAAGCTTCTTATGGATACATGGTGGCTAGGTAGATCGTTGAAGTGTGCATTAGTCGTTCGACTACGGTACTTGAATGATATATTATCTATAGATATCAGAAATCGTCAGAATAGCGTCGATTCATGATTTCCGTTGCGGTACAAGATTCACGTATAATTTAATACTTTGTAATAATGTAGATAGTTGAAAAATGTTGATATGAAAAAATGGTAGATGATCATTAACTCGTTTGTGGATGTTTTCGCACTTCTGTATGGCTAACAATATCAGGACTAATTGCTTCAGAATTCTGACAGGGATAAGAGCACTCCTCATTAAGCATATGTATATATTTTGCATTATATGATGTTAGATAAGTGAACATAAGGAAATTGAAGGAGGAGTATACTAATTTAATACATGCGTTCGCGTTCGACGATTCGCATGAAATTAATTTCGTGCCAACGCATCGTGTCCGAGAGAAATTAATTTTGTACTGTCCATCCTTATAAAAATATGATTATGAACGGCGTGTATTACAAGCGGCTTAAATTGAGCGCGGCGGTAAATCAAGTATGGATGGGCAGTTAATTAAAAAATTCGGTAGTAGCCGTGAAAGGTTGGAATTAAATTTAGGGGCAAGATACGATTAACGACGCGTGTTTATACTTATTGGATACTAAGGCCGATTGAATCTGACGTAACAGTGGCAATTTTGGGGAAGGTCTGATGATAAGATAAAATGACTTGTTTGCAGATGTTGTCTCTTTGATCTCTTTATATTGTTTGTATTTCATTTTATGCGATTGTATGTTTTTTTTAGCGTTTTTTCATAAATAAGCATTAATTTTTTTCTCTTTTTCTCTATCACAGTCATTATCTTAGTATCTATTTCTTTTTCCCATCACGAATGTCTTACCGTAACATGTATTAATAAAATAGATATGCTTTCGTGGGAGATCGTCGATATATAATAAGTGTTGGCCGCTGTTTGAATTAATTCGGTATAACTGAATTCGTAACGACCAGCGTGTTGTCAGAACGCCCGCATCCTTGTGTCCATTTCCTGTGATAACGCGTATACTTATGCGTATACAAGCGAACGCATCAGAGACACCGTTGCCTTCGCAAAACTGGCGAGATGGATAAGATAAGAAACCCTTACTTTTTCGATTATTGATCGTTCTCGGTTGCTCTGAAGACTCTTTGGCACCTCATTTTGTGATGCAGAAGTCTCCTTAGCTGCCATTGTACGATCTCGAACGGAGTCGTAATGGCACGTTTGTCAGGTCGTCCGACAATTAGAATGCAAATCTGCGATGCTCGCATATGCATATGCACAATCTGGTTCCATAGCCATTCGCGGCCCGTGTGCGGCTCTATCCGCCAGATCTCGGCCCACCAAAATCCATTCATCCTGAGCACTTTTTAGCGCAATCCGTCGATCGGACCCCAATTTTATCACGTCTTTGGCCCCGAAGTTTGACGCCTTTTATGGTCCGTTATACCGTGAATAAGAATAAGAATCTGAAGACGACACGATAGCGCCAGGGATCCATTCAGACGATCGACGATATACTCGAACGAATATCATCTGGTTGGTCTCTTGACGCTGATTAAAATTAAATTATAATACTTTTGAAAGTTTTACAAGTTCGCCATAGGCCATTCGGTGGCTCTTGTTTTTTCTTCCTCCATTCTCGGGAATAGATAATACAAAATGCATCATGGCACCGAATATTGCCAGTGCCTTAATGCCAATGCTTTAAATATGCGTAATGAACATTCGCAAAGATCTGCACGCGTGACGATAAAAGTTTCACATTGTTATGGCGAGTTGTTCCAGTTCGGTTTCAACTTTTCCAATGGCGATAGTGGCTTTAGTACAAAACTGTAAATACCTGCGCGTATTCGGAGATAGAATTTCTTACGACCAAAAATACGACATTTACGCGGTATTAAAGTCAATTTTACACCATCTCGGAATGGCTACGAGTCTGTTAACGTCGATCGCGGTTATGCACTAGGATTTCCTTTACATACATATTGTGTTCGATCCCTCGGAATTTACTTTTAACAACGATCTTCTTAGACTTTTTCAAGCGAAGCTTCTCGTATAATTTCGAACGTCTCGAATTCCCGATAGTTTCTTCTCTTATCTAACGACAAGAATAGATTTTTTCGCAGTTTGTGCCGAGGCGGCATTTCCTTCCATCTTTGTGAGCTCGTTGCATCGGTTTCACATTTTCGTGGCGTATCTTTTCGAAGTCAGACAATTCTGGAACGTCGCACGGTCTGCGGTCGCCCGACAAATAGATTACGTGCTCGCGAAGGGTATTCTTCGTAGGGTGCCTAACCGCCCTTCTTCGCCCTTTTACACATGCTACTCACGTACTCACGTACTCACGACGCGTTCCGGGTACGTCGTATTCGCCAGAGTTGTCGCTCGACGCGTTCTTCTCTATTCTGTCCTCTCTCTTCGGAGCGCCTCTCCAAAAATTGCAACGCGTTAGCACGAAATCCACTAACCATTCCATTATTAAATCTGTGTCCGCATTACATGGATATAGGGGCGTCGCGGCGTCACTGGCATTAAAATTCACATCATGCCGAAACCGTCAAAACGATGAGACACGAGCTTCTCGTCGATATGCCGGAACGGATTACACATAATGACTTTATCTGCATCATACAATTAAGCCGTGACTGCATCGTTCGTTGATAATGCATCCTTGATAAAGAAATTATTTTTTAATTTATTCATATGTATCCCGACGCG